TTCCCTTCAGATGAGCAATTGAACAGAATAGGTTTATTTGTATTTCAAAGTCACCCAATGGGTAACCTTTCCTATATGATTGTATATAAGAAAGAACTAATAGAAAAAGTTAATTGTGATTGAGGACCGAAACATTCCATCAGATCAGATTCATTTATTGATTAATTATAGTGGTATAAAATCTGTGCTGATCATCACAGTTCTTCAAATCTTTTAATTTGGGAACTGTAGTCCTATGAAATGAACTAGAAATTCTCATATTTGAACAGTGGCAAAAACGAACATAGAGATTTGTTTGTGTTTATGAAAAGTTTGTATCTTAATTGCTTGTATCTTTGGATATGGTTGCTGGACTTAAAGATTTAAAAATTTGAGAGACGGGAAATACCTTCAGAATCTTAATTGATTAAATAGATTTTCCTATATAAGTAGATTTTTTTAAATACTTGAAGCATTCTTTTTTAAGCACAAACTTTTCACATTAATTAATTAGTATAGAAAACTTTTTAAAGATTTCTGATTTTTCCGAAATAATTTATTAGTATAGACAACACAATTTAATTCTTATGGCTCAAAGTCATAATTATAAATATCAGTTAATTCTTCTGCATTGCTTTTGGTTTTATCTAGGACAGTCGGTCTTGTCTTTTTAAAGGACCTTGGCTAACCTAAGCAGAGTGAAAGTTTCTACTGCCTATCTACCACATCTTTCCACTTGCCAAGAAAAAGGAAGCTGAGTGATAAATTTAGTGAAGTATCATTACTATACAAGTAAATGGTAGTTGTAGGGAGACAGTATATATATTTGTAGGCACACACACACTTTTGCAGTAAGGATAGGAACATTTAATATTGTTGTCTAAATTAAAGGCCAGATGGGCTAGCAGGTGACATGGAAGTTACCCCGGCTGGATCTCACATGGCTGACTGTGGTTTGTTTGAGTCCTGGACCCTGTGGCTTGGAAATCATGCTGAGTGTGTGTGTGTGTGTGTGTGTGTGTGTGTGTGTGTGTGTGGTTGGGTGGGTGGGTGTGTGCCCAAAATCCCGATGGGAGAATGGATGAGAAGGGATTGTAGTGTGTCTATACCCCCAGGGGTGATTTCTCATTTCTGCTCTCTTCCTCTCTCTGTCTCTCTTTGGCCAGCACACACACCTGTAGCAAAACTTAAAAATTACTAATAACTCACACTAAGCTGTGTTGATTGCTTTTGTAAACTACAAATTCTCAGAAGAGCAATTGAAAACCATGACCAATTTAGGACAATATTGACTGACTAAAGTATTCCTCCCTAAATTGCAAAGATGTGTGTTCTCATTGGTAGTGTTGCTGTGCTATTATAACTGGCAGCTACATTTTGAATTCTAAAAATTGGAGTCCATCGTCAGCTAATAGCATGCTTTAAAAAATTATTAAATCTTATTATTTTTTAATTTGACCAGAGCGAGAAAATGAGACAGCATGCCACCAGGTCCAGGACTTGAACCATGGGCAACCATGTGGGAGTCCAGCACCTTAAACACCATGCCACCTGCTGGCCCCCCAATAACATGTTTATAAGTACCAAAATTTACTAGTTTTTAGTAATTCATTTAATAGATGACAGGCATCCCTTAGTTCCACATAAGAAATGAAAGCCCAGCGGCATTACAAACTTTTACTTCTGTAGAATCAAGGAAAGGACTTGAGTTTTTGGATTAGATTTTTTTTCACAAGGAGTCTTAGCATATGCTTCAGACTATGCCTTTGTAATCATTAACTCAGGAACATCTAAGATGTTAAGGGTTAATCTTTCTAAGCTATATGTCTTCATCTTCTTAGTCGCTGCTCCTGAGTTCTTCAGCCACTCGCTCTGGTGTGCTATCTGGTTCCTTTTTAATTTTCTTTTTTTTTTTTTTCAAGAGTTTTGTCATAGGGCCCATGTGCTTGCCAGAAAAAGCAAGAGAGAGAGAATGAATGATGAATGAATGAAGGTGAGAATTCACCACCACCCCCCAGGGGGATGGTCACACTGCAGTCTCATCTCCTCTGTTCTCCTGGGATTTGGGGCATGCACATACAGGTGCCAGTGTGATTATTTTTTAAGCTGCCAGGTCCAAGACTTGAACCGCAGTTGGCCATGTCCAACACCTTAACCACCAGGGCACCTGTAGGCCCTGCTTGCTTGCTTTAAGTTTCAGAGTTTCTCCATAGTCATTTCTTTTCATTCCACATTCTTTAATTTCCTTGTTAGTTCTAATCTGTTGTGAACATGGAACTAGGTGAATTAAAATTGTTTAGAACTATTTACTCTAAAGTTAGGAAGTTGCTTCTTAATGAGGACTCTCAATGTAAGAAATGTTTATGTGTATTTATTTGTTTCTGTGATGACAGTTTTAGATAATCATTTCTTTTTGGATTCTTGGTGTTGGTTTATAAAATGGAGAATGTGAAATAGTAAGACACCTATGTATAGATGAGATATTAACTTGGGATTTTAGCTTTCTGAATTGAAACTAGAAGACTGCAATATTAATCTGAAAGTGTGTTACAGAATAATATATTCAAGGAGGTAGCTTGCCAGCAGAATTAACAGTATTCTTGTGATACCTGTGTAGAGATAGCTTCCTTGATTTCACTGTATATTTTAATGTATTACTTCTCCAAAAGACATTGATAAGAGGTTTTATTTATAGTGGCCCAAAGTTTCACATTGATTTTCTCATCTCTATAGTCTAATCTTACATGTGCTCACCAGAGAGGGAGAGTGAAAGAGACAGTGAGAGGGAGAGTAATAGTGAGAAATTACCCCCCACTGGGGATAGCCATGCCACAATTCCTTCTACCCCATTTTCCTGTTGGGATTTTGGGCATGTACATGCACATTCCCAGAGTGTTTTGCAAGCTGTTGGGGTCCAGGACTCAAACTGCATTTGGCCTTACAGAGACCACCGCTTTAACCACTACACTACCTGTTGGCCCATTACCCATCTTACTATTTTTCCACGGGTTACATTTAAATACTTGTGTTGTCAGAAAAGTTATGACATTTTTCTGTGCAAAAACATGTCATGACTTTCCGGCGACCCAATATTTCCTATATTTGAGTTTTCCTTGGATGTACATCAAACTAGCTAGTACTGAGAGTTTAATTTTTTGCATGGTAAAACTTGTCTACTGAAGTATTTACAAATGGAACTATATATGTTTTATTTATTTATTTATTTATTTTGATAATTTTTATAGGTTCCCATGGTCCATTATTGCCTTTGCCAAGTCGTTACAGAATGGGCTCTCGAGATACACCTGAGCTTGTTGCGTACCCATTACCACAGGCTTCTTCCTCTTACATGCATGGAGGAAACCCATCTGGTTCTGTTGTAATGGTTAGTGGATTACATCAACTAAAAATGAACTGCTCAAGAGTCTTCAACCTATTCTGCTTATATGGGAATATTGAAAAGGTAAGTTTCATTTTATATTAGTTTATTTTTTTTATTCAAAGTTTTAAATTTTTAATTTTTTGCTGGGCTATCTAGCAGTAATTCTGAAAAGACTGCAAATGTATGTCTTCTCCAGGTTGTTGGTACTAAAAATATTTTTTAAATAATTAATATAAAAAAAAGAAGTTCAAAGCAGTTGTTTAGTCAACTATTATATATTATAAGCATAAAATTTGTAGTTTTAGTCATTTCAAAGAGATTGTAACATTTAACATGTTGGACTGTAGAATTTGAAACAGCAGTTACTCTCCTGAAGGTAGGTATACACACACATATCTCAGAACTTGTCCAGAAGTCAGTAAGGTTAGGAAAAGTTGTGGGAGTTTATATACTTGCTTCCTAAATGCTAGGGTTTTAGTACCTGTTGAGGAGCAATGGATGACCTTTAATAAAGCTCAATGAGTATTTGAAACTGACCTACTTTGATAAAATGTGTCCAACATTTTTTGCCCAGAGATTTATACTCAAAAAGTAGCAAAGCATGATGTACAGTTTATGTATTTTGAAGGTTTTTAAAAAGTGTAACTACTTATACTAAATAACTGTGTGGTTTCCCCAAATTGTCAATGTTTTGTTAATTGTTATCTCACAAATATTTACTAATAGAATAGTGCTGATAAAAAGTGTAAATACTAAGCCTTTTTTTGGAGAGGTTTTTGCTATAGGGGGCATGTGTTCACCAAAAAGACAGAGAGACAGACAGAAAACAAGAAATCACTCCCCCAGGGGGGATGGCCACACTGTAATCCCTTCTCCTCCATTCTCCTCTCAGGATCTTGGGCATGCACAAACACGCGCCCGGTGTAACTTGAAGCCACTGGGTCTGGGATGCGAACCGCAGTTGACTACATGGGAGTAGCGACATAGCCATTATGCCAACTGCTGGTCCCA